GTTGATCAACGAGAACATGTTCGTGGGCTTTAATGGCCGGGTCAACAAAAGAGCTGATACTTGCTATGCATTTTGGGTCGTAGCCTCACTATCTGTGAGTATCCTGATGCTTAATTTGTACTACAGCAGCTTATGAGATTAGATGATCGGAGAAGTTGAACTGGTAGACCCAGAACCTATGCGAAGGTTCCTTACCGAACTGACTCAGCATCAAATTGGTGGCTTTGGCAAATGTCCAGGCAATCCTCCAGGTCTGTGGTATCCATATGAATATGAGCTGCACAGCTAACCAAACGAAGATATCTATCATTCGTACCTAGGTTTGGCTGCCTTGGCGACGTTGGGCGAAGCCGATCTGAAGCAATTTGACGCTACGCTTTGTATCAGCGTTGAACAGCGACAGAGGCTGGAGATACTCGGGGAAGAAGCTTTGACGTCCAGGAATTATACATGCTTTTCCAGAGAAGAGTGAAACGCGACCCATGGTTTGGTTCACACTCAACACATTTGCTTGATCCAGGACCTCCGACGGGAGAAAGAGGTGATGCTGACGAGACATGTGAAGAGAATGGAGGCCTTCACGCCAGCGTCAACACACTACGCTAGCTGCTCGATTCGTCCGAACGCTAGAGATAGCATTGGTATCAGAATAGCTAGATTAAGGTTTCATGTTTTGATGAATCACAGAATATGTCTGGTGGGTACACAAACCATACGGGAGGTAAATGTAGGCAAGGCAGATTTCTGAATAGTACATATATGTCCCATATATCACTATGATCCTATAGGTACTCGAATCCTTACACTGGGTCCAGCGAACTCCAATGTTCGGTTATGCATGTATTTGATACATATAGGTGTCTAGTTGCGGCGTAGCTATGTCCTCTCATCCAACATAGCGAGCTACGCAGGAGATGGCAATTTCGCCCTGGTCAGAGGTAAATTACCAATGGCTAATACAGATTAACTACACGCAACGAACAGCGAATCAGGTTCCATAGATAATATGAACTTCTCACTTGTACTAATTGAGATCAAATCTTGTCAGCCCTATTTTTTTTTTTAGTACAGATTCATTACGCGAGAACAGTAGCTCAAGTCTGCTGTACGACCAATAACTCCCTCGCACCAGTTGCAAGCTTCCACAGGCGGGAAGCCCACATTACCATTGCTAGAAGCAAATAGAAAAGGCTGAAGTATGAATGAATGACGGATGATTGAGTTACGATAGTCTGAAACTTCCATCAACACGTGCTACGCGCTTAGTTCACCTGAATATTGGCAAAACCCGCTCAGATTTAACCCCTTACCCTTACCCAACGATCAACGATCTCCCTGTGAGAATCATATTGCTCCGTACATAGGTATGGTTCTAGCCCACAAGAAAAACCCTACAAATTCCAATGTTGCTGCGCCCTCTCTTCTTTTGCGCATCTTTATAATTGTGACCACCACCTGTCGCCCCAAACAATTGGTGCCCGGGGGTTGCCTTTGACGTGAAGTAAAGCTAAGGTAAGCGCCCGCCCATCTGCATGTGTGCAAGGTAAGGTAGTAGTGTGTGCTTTGAGCTTCACTCTCCTGGGATTTGAAGCCTCACATAACACCTACCTACCTATCCTTCTCTGCTCGCCAGTATCAATATCTTCTGATCTGATTTATATTTCGCAGATTCCGCAACACGAATTACTGGGTACATTCGTTGTCCCACCTTGAATGATCTATATAATGATAAAGGACATCAAACGATAGCAACGGACAATTCCCTCTTCCTCTATCCAGCGCCAGTCGCGATTCAAGCAGCTGACTACGAGGGCAACTTGTACTCGCTGGACGTCCACATCTCTCGCAACATATACCTGGGAACTAGACGAGGATCGGGCCGGATCGATTCTGATATACTTCAAACCACTGCATCGCATCGCATCGCGTCGAAGCCGCACTGTTTGTGTGATAACAAGACCACCATCATAATCTGCCCACGTACCCGTACCTGTACCCGTACTAGATATCGATAAGCATTTTCTAGTTATCACATCATCATAAAAGGAATCCTTCGAGAAGTACCACCGTACGTGAAACATTGGTTGAGGTGAATAGCTGCTGCGCCCAAACACTGCCACAAGTTCAGGCTTACTACAACTGAACCTCACCAAACAATCCACAACTACTACATTTCTGTTCTAAGAACAGCATCACCAGAAGACATGGATCAGCAGAGGGGCCGCTCCCCTTCCACAGGTCATAATAATAGCCAGCAACATTCTCATATAAATCCGAGCCACTCTCCTTCCCCGCATCACTTTCAAGATAGTACGAACTTCGTTGGTCTGGGACTCGACACCGTGGGTCAGAATACCAACAACCTTCAGCACTTAAACACTAGCTATAACTCGGACAACGGCCTTTCATCCTTCGACAGCAGCTCTTTCCTTGGTCAGGACCAGACGTTCTCCCAGATCAACGAAACCTTCAATCCGAACAGCCAAGGCTTCGGTCAGAGCTTCAAGCAGGAGGATCAGCAATCGCAATTCAGCCAAGCAGAGCAGACAAGCTTCACACAAGAACTCATGGGTACCACCATATCCCCCATCAATGGCGGGGATTTCTCGTTGTTCGGCGCATCGAGCAACCAGAATGAGCCGCTTGACCCTCAATTCTTCATGAACGAATTCTCTTCACAATCTGGAAGCAACTCGATCAACCCAGCGCAACTTGACATGTCGTCTCCTCCACAGAATCCGGCCTCGCCGCCAGCTCATTTGCAACCTAGCATCCAGTCGCCCGGCTCGGCGCATAACTCGCCCTCCTTCAATCAAGGCCAATTTCAACCATCTCCAGGACACTCCCGCCATGCTTCATTGGGACCTGAGAGCGCAGCTTTTCCACAAGGACACAATGCCGACTGGAGTATGATGGCTCCCCAATTTCAAGGTCACAGAAGAACGCCCTCGGAATACTCCGACATCTCAAATGTATCATCTGCCGCGCCCTCTCCCAATCTAGGTCATCATGATAACTTCGAGCCTATAGACCCCCTCAACCACCATTCGCCTATGCACAGCCCTCAAAATGATGGCGTATACCAGGAGGTCATGGGAATTGGGTCTTTCTCTCTTTCAGATACCCACGGTACCCCGAATAGAGGTCTTAGTCCCGCACATAGCCCTGCTATGTCTCCCCAACTGGGTGCACAAGCAATGCCAAACATAAACCCTCACCAGTTCATGCTTGGTATCAACAATGGTTTTGGTCAACAGCCGAACATGTTTGGGTCTCAAAACTCAGAATATCCCCAGATCAGCCACAATGGCTCAGTCGACATGGGACAAGCACAGCAAATGGTTCCGCCTGAGATCAATGTTGAGTTTGCGCCCACTTCGAGAACAAACAGTTTTGAACCCCCGAAGCCAAGTAACTTTGATAACGATGCTTTGACACCACTTGATAGAGGTATGCACCGCCCTGCGAGTGCCATCTTTTTGATGACTAACCTTTCCAGTAGGTCGCAACAACCGTCGTCGTGCAGTGTCTGATCCGTATTCCTCGTCGCAACAAACACGGCAGCAGTCACAATCTACTAACTTATCTCTCCAAATTGGATCAGATCGCAGCTCAGATGCATCTCGCTCACTTTCTCCTGATAATCGTTCTGGAGCTACATCCCCAAGCCGCCGCCGTCAATCAACATCTTCACTTCCCAATCGCGATTACATACTAGGACTTGCTGATCCAGAATATCAAGGCAACGCTGCGGAAAATGGGAATGCCAAACGCGTCCAGAAGCATCCTGCTACATTTCAATGTCCTCTCTGCCCAAAGCGTTTCACTCGTGCATATAACCTGCGCTCGCACTTGAGAACTCACACAGATGAGCGCCCATTCGTCTGCACGGTTTGTGGAAAGGCATTTGCTCGACAACATGATCGGAAACGCCACGAGGGATTACACTCTGGTGAGAAGAGATTCGTTTGCAAAGGTGATCTTACTCGAGGTGGTCAGTGGGGATGTGGTCGTCGTTTTGCACGTGCGGATGCATTGGGTCGACACTTCCGTTCAGAAGCTGGTAGGATATGCATTAAGCCATTACTGGATGAAGAAGCTTTGGAGCGACAACGGCAATGGCAAGAACAGCGCATGACCATGCAGAACATGCAGCAGATACAACAACCGCAATTCCAAGTCGACCAGAGTGGCTTTCCACTCGACTCCAGTGGAAACTACACCCTTCCGGCTGCCTTGCTTGCGCAATACCCTGCGCTTGCGGGCCTGAGTTGGTCGGAGCTGCCACAGGGTGATGTTCATGACGACGATCCGAGCGGAAGAAGTAGCTTCGATGCCAGTGGATCGGAACTCTACGATGAAGGCGATGATGGAGGATATATATCTGCTGGGCCAGGCCCTCAACAAGGTTATGGCCAGCCTCAGATGGTCGACACATATGCAGGTGGTGGCTACTCAAATGATATTGGACGGTGATACGGGATGAGCATTTGAAGGAGCCTCGTTGTTTGGTATAGCTGTTTTCTGGGCGCATTTAAAACCCACTTCTTTGTTTCTTCGCGGTCCTTCTGGTATGCTACGGTTTTACTTGCTCACGAGCAAATGTCTCTTTCTTTCTGGGCGACTTTGGGACGGCACTTTATGACCACTGGGAATACACAACACAAATAGATGACGGAGGGTCTTAATTTTATCGTAGAAAAATATGATGACTGGACTTGAAAATCCATTTCCAGTGTAGTTCTATGATCGTGATACTTGCGAACAGGGAAAACAAATTACCAAGGAGGTATGTAGCGAGAAGTCGGAGCTTAGATAACGATTATATTCGAAGAATATGCCAAGCCGCGAACGAATAGCGGAGCTTTCGGGTTTGCTCTTTTTGGCCAAAAAAATTAGAAAAGGCTTCCACCACAAGGTTTCTTACACTTGGAATGCGACGGAAGCGTAAAAAAACACTGGAATACTAGACTGTAGCAAAACATACTTAAACACGTATGTAGCTCGTGCTAGTTTCGATCTAGCGTCCTACGGGTTATGAGCCCGTCGCTCTTCCACTGGGCTAACGAGCTTTAAATGTCTACACATTTTAAGGTTACGGTGTCTTGCAAATGATATATACCTATGCTCACCTTAGTATTTAAACGAGTCTTTTATTTCCCCGACGATTAAACGCAAATGCTTACATTTCAACACACTATGGATAGGTTAGCTATTAAAATTGTTTCTTTCTTACTAAACATTCTTCATTCTATCGAGTCGAGTATATATCTCTGTATGTACGTAGCATGTTTGCCAGAGGCTGGCTTACAACACAAACACCAACTTCTCACCACTGACCTTCCCTTCCTTCATCGCTTGCATACCCTTCATCACACCCTCCAGTCCCTCTCCGTACTTGTTCACGCTTGGCTTATGGACCTTAACGCTTCCATCCGCCAACGCCTGTCGGGTGATCTCCATAAACATCTTGCCAAACTCCAAGTTCTCGGGCTGTGCCGGGAAATCCATCATGGGCCACGTGAACGCCTCGCCGATGGCCGTGTAGGCGAGCGTGGATTTGTTGGCAATATTTTTCGGGATGTTTTCGCCTTTGACGGACAGGAGGTTGGTGTAGATCCCCGGGGAGGAGGTGGACATGGCGGCGACCGTGATGTCGGTCGATGACCCTTCGGAAATGCAGTCGAAGGCGTGAGTGATGCTGCCGTTGGACCAGGCCTTGATGTCTTCTGAGCAGGTGGGGGAGTTGTAGTCGAATGCTGCGTCGGCGCCGAGGGACTTGACGTAGTCGAAGTTCTTTGGCCTGTTGTTTTGCATGTCAGTGCTCGTGTCTTTGGCCATGCAATTGGTGGAGTTGGGTTAGGCGAGAGGAGAAACTTACGAAGCAGTGACAACGACCTTCGCGCCGCTTAGCTTGGCGAACTGGATACCAATCGCTCCTGAAGCTGTGCTGCCTCCATAAATGAGTAGTGTGCCATCGAACTTTCCCTTGCCAGGCAGAGGCATCTCGAGAGACTGGTAGAGTGCTTGGCCAACGGTCAGGAACGAGACGCCGATGGTGGAAGCTTCTTCGAAAGAGAGGTTGTCGGGAATGGTGGTTTGAATGTCCCCCTTAGCGGTGATGTAGTTGGAGAACGAGCCGTCTTCATGATAGACTGCATTTCCGCCGTGAGCGAAGCCTGCTATGCGGTCGCCTTTCTTGAACGGCTTGGTCACTGCAGAGCCTATTTCCTGTGTGAATGTTAGCCTGGGTGATAGACGACGGGTTCCGACTCGGGGGCTGGGGAGCAGGTGTGATTTTCACCTAAAATTAAATATCAGCTGTTCGCTTACCTCAACGACACCGGCGTAATCACAGCCAACTTTGGCGCCTGGTGGGGCCAATCCGAATGCAATATGCTTCCAATCCGTAGGGTTCAGAGCAACGGCCTTCACTTTGATGAGAACATAGTCGTTGCGAACTGTTACAGTTAGTGTTGTTCGAAGTGAGCACTCCCTGTTCGTGGAGTAGCACTCGAGGCCTTTTCGGATTTGAATACGATGACTTCATCTCGCAATCTAGTGTCTGCTGTATACAGTTGATTTGTTCTGGAAAATAGGACATACGCTTGGGGATTGGGATATCTTGAATAGTAGCCTTTGTGCCTTCGATGGCAATGATTCCTTGGTTGGACATTCTGAGGTATAGTTGTCGATTTAATTTGGAGGTATGAGATTTCAAATGTGTTCGGAATTTGGTTTGTTTGTTTGGTGTGAACAATTTGTGATGATGCAGTGAATACAACGGACTACCTGCACGAAAACACTCTAGATATATATACCACCCTAGAGGCATATCATTACAAATGCACATATTGCAAACCCCTCCTGATTGTGCTCCAATAGGCCCCACAGCTTTGTTGTCGAGTCGTGAACAACATCTTCCATTTGACTCGGAGGTTGAGTTAAGCCGTCAACCGAAGGAAATAGCTTTCAACAGCGGAACTAAATGGATAGAGACAGGCTTTGGTTTCATTGTATCGATCGGTGACGAAAATTGAAGTCCAAAGTCCATCTCCTGCTCTTCAAGACGATGGTCTTCAAGACCGCCACCGGTGGGTAGAAGACATATGCCGAGGCCAGGAAAGTCATGGAAGATTTGGGAGAATTTGACACTATCCAAATACGTCACTCCCTCCCCACCTTCGAGGGCTTAAAATTCAAGCTAGAAGTCAAGCTAGACTTCGGCCAGAATTTTTGAAGATCTGGGGACTTGAGGAGCAACTGGATCCTTGAGGAGCCGCAAGTTGAAGGACGGCTCGAATCGGTCAGGCCTAAGATAGTGAGTGCACTTGCCACTAGGCAAAATGCTAGTACTAGCATCATGTATGGCAGCCCAACCACAAGCAAGCTTGGAAGAAGATGGAAATAGAGAGATTGATCGTGTTGTCGCCAACGCACTTCGACGCATTTCAACCTTCCTGAAAGAAGACTTGCGTGCGGTATAGTGCAGCATACCAGTACTCATGCAGTCGACCTTAACAGTTCCACCGGGGACATCATTTCGAGGCCATTGGGCCAAGGTGACGGTGACCATGCCATGCCATTCCATGCTATCCCATCCCATCCCATCCCATCCCATCACTCTCTCAACTATGAATGCTGGACCTCAGTACGCGAATCGGAGTCACCTATATGCTCTTTGTGTGTAGATGAAGCCGACTTTCCAGCCAACCAGCACCAGCTCCAAGAGTTGTCACCTTCATGCACACATGCACACAAAGGCCTTGTGTTCAGCGATTCCATGTGTTTCCAGTGCTATGGAGGAGAAAGTCGCAGTGTAGCTACACCACACCTATGTATGGAGTCTCTACTCGTCCCAGCCTTCCAGGCAAAGATTTGAAATTTGCTGGCAGTTCCACTGCAATCTTCCCGTACCTAATAGGCTTGTGAACGTTATGTGCTGCAAATGCAATTCCATGGTTGGTTGCTGTTTATCTAGGTACTCCATAGAGGCCGCACTGGATGCAGCCGTAGCTTATCATTGGCCGATTCTGCCTTGTATCTGCCCCTATGGCGAAGTTGGGCATGAGTTCAATGCAAGGTTCCTGACGCGCCGAAGCGGGAAAATGAAAATATTGGAGAAACATCTTTATACCAACTCACTTCAACCTACTTCTCCTCTCCTCTGAAAACGAACATAAACATAAACATTGAGATTGTTTTGTTTGGTGGACCGCAGCACAGATGAAATGAAACGGCCAGGGTGACGATAACAGCCTCTGATACACGCAAATTCGAAAATTTGGCTGCCGACACCCTCCCTGCATACCACCAACCTCTCGCCCTGTGACCTCTTCACCTGCACTATTCTTGTTCATCCCATTCTACTCTACAAACAACAGCATCTCTGGATATACCTTTATCCTCTCTACGACCAGGAAAGACCCAAGTCAGTCCTTCCACCAATATTTCATACAACAATTACCTTGGCATACTTCCCTATCTTGACGGATACTCTCCAGATGAGTCTGACGCCCTTCTACGACTACGCTTGTTCGATCAAATACAATGGCAGCAGTCAAAAGCTCGCGGTACTACGACGAGCGCGCAGAGATCGCCTTTGCACAAACTACGACCCAGCACTCGACGATTGGGTGGGATGAATTGGATACCCGAATAAGGCTGAACCTTATATCAAGAGTTTGGGTGGCATCTCGTAGCTCAGACACAATCAACTATGGACGAACAACTAGGACACATTTGGTACGCTGAACCGCTTTTCCATATGTATATGTATTCCCGGAGCGACATGACCGTTTTGTGCAGCAAGTAGCGCTAAGGCGGTGCTGCAGCGGTGAAGGCCTGTAAACAACAACTCAGTCAATATCTAACCACTTTCACAGAACTCCAGTCCCAATCTGGAATGTACGTGGTCTTGCATTTGGGATGGGAAACCTCTCATCGCTCCTGCGCCTAGCCCACAATTTCCTCGTGGCATATCGCAGCATCATGACGAAGCGGTTGACTTAGTCGACCTGCACGATACCGGGAGACTTGCCAGACAACACCTGCATGACCCTATAGCGTCCAGAATTGCCCCTCCCTACTCGAAGGAATCGCAAGAAGACAAGTCTCTCTTTTGTGATCCAAGCATGGCTCCAGCTATTGATTGGAAGTCCGGAGATGGCTTTACACAGGCGGCTAAGAAGAAGAATAAGAAGGCCAATACCTGGACCGATCCTGACGAAAATGCAGAGAAGAAGGACGAGGGTGCGGGTGATTCAGGAGACAAAGGTACAGGAGACGGTGCCGGCACTGGTGGTGCAGGCTCAGCTGATGGGGATGGAGAGAAGAAGGACGATAAGGACGGGGACGCCAATGTCGATGATGACTGGGGAACCTTTGCACATGTCAAGGCTAAGAAGAAGGGTAAGAAGGGGGCTAAAGAGGAAGACCCCGCACCTGTAGTCGAGAAGTTCGATGCTTTCCACGAAATCAAATTGGATGCAGATCCAATACTGGACCTGAGCTTCGACACGACTGATACCACGTCAAAGGGGGGAGGCTTTGGCACTTGGGGTAGTAGCTGGGCTACTGGGACAACAGGCAAATCTACTTGGGACTTTTCTGCCACTACAACAACTGATACTGCTATAGCTAGTGATACTAAGAAGGAGGAAGAGGTTGATAACAATCCATGGAGTTTGAATCGAGGGAAACCGAAGAAAAAAGACACTGGGTCCAGCTTTGGAGCTCTAGATGAGGAAGAGAAAGAGCCTGATCCACCACCAGACGATGAGAAGAAGGCGGACCCTTTCGACTTCGGGTTCGTTGGCGGCGGCACTAGCAAAAAGGACAAGAAGAAGAAGGGCAAAGGCGCATTTGATGTCGAGGAGCCGAAGGTGGAGGAGCCCGCTCCTGTTGAAGAGGCTGTCGATGACTGGGGAGGAGGTTGGGGAACCAATGCCAAAAGTAAGAAGAAAGGCGGAAAGACTGAGCCAGAGCCACCTCCTAAAATTGAACAACCTGCGCCAGCTGAGGACGATTGGGCAATATCGTTCGGCGGCGCCAAGAAGGGGAAGAGCAAGAA